AGTTGCCGCTTCGGCAACCGACCCAGCCAGCGCGTGAGAGGCCGCACCGCAGCGCGCGAAGTAGTCTGCCCAGCCGTTACCAAGCCAGTCACGCAGCTCCTGCGGTTCTGTATCCACAAGCTCGTCAACGACCTGTGCGCAGGCGTCCATCGGAACTTGGGAGGGTAACGCAGAGTGCGTCTGCGGCTGGCCACGAAGATGTCCCGCCACGCTCTAGCATGCTTGGCACGACCCTGCTCGAGCTCGGGGCACCAACGCTCCCCTTCCTGGGCGAGCGCCAGCAGATCAGTGACGAAGCGCTGGTGGTCAGGGAAAGCGTCGAGCCCCTCCCTCTGCTCGCGTACCTCTCAGCGCGGCCAACAGTCTGCACCAAGTACGGGAGGGGCCCGAATCGCGCCCTAACTGGGAACCAAGAGTAAGGATCAAGCTGCACAACAGCTTGTCCACACCTCCGCACCACACCTCCGCACCTCGGGAACACCCGAGTCGTAGCCAGACCCGTCGGTGTAAGAAACGGGGCCCCAAACGCCATGGGCGTTGCCCCAGAGGCAGACATCATGCCTCCGCGTGTCTGCGCGTGGCAGATAGGCGGGAGGCTCGGGTATGCCAAAGACGAGGTAGGACTGCTCGAAATTCGGATAAGTTGGTCGCGCACCTCAGCCAGCACTTGGGGGAGCTGGAAGATACCACGGCATGATGCACCAGGCGCCGAGGCTGGAGCCGCCGCCGCAGGGGACAACGGGTCACTCCGTTCCGACGCAGCCGGTGGCGTGCAGAGGACACGCTGCGCGTCTGGCCGGAGGAGGAGGAGGAGGAGGAGGAGGATGAAGAGGGGGAGGGGGAGGAGGAGGAAGAGGAGGAGGAGGAGAAGGAGGAGGAGGAGAAGGAAAGGGACCAGTGCAAACCCACGACTGATTACGGATGTTGCAATTCCCCCTGTCTTCAAGCTCCCTGTTTTTGATGGTCCTTCGATACTGTGTTATCACGGATGCCACGTTGGAAGGTATCCGTTGGAGACTCCCGAATCGTGCCAACATGCCTTTCCTGGGACTTCAACCCCGCGGGTCAACGTGATTTACGCGTCTTGACAATCCTACTCGTTCCAGAACAACCTTACGGTGATTTCCACATCGCGAGTCAACGTGATTGTTGTGTCCTGGTCAATCTCAATCACGCCAGAACAAAGTTCGTGAGACTTCAACCATACGAATGCTTGAAGCTGGTGCAAATTGTCAACGCACGTGCGCGGCGCGAAGGCGATAACCACATTTCGAAAATAAGTCACCCTCCATCCTTGAAGTCGTTGCATACTTTACGACGGTTGCGTGCGGCGACAAGGAGAGAGACACACATCGTCCAGCATCCAATCGTGAAACTGTTGCGAACTTTCAGAAAGATATGTGTGCGGCGCTCAGGCCACAACCACACTTTGCAAAGGATCCGCCATGCATCTGTGATAATGCTGCAAGCTTTAGCACTAATGTGCGCGGTGCTACGGCGACAGCCGCATTGTGAAAACGACCACCAGTGAAACGATTGCAAAGTTTAGCACGAAGGTGCGCGGTGCTAAGGCGATATCAGCACTTTGAAAACGGCCCGCCCTCCATCCATGAAACTGTTACAACGTTCAAGTTTAAGAATGGGAAATGCAGAGGAAGTCTCAAGCGAAACGCCCGGCCCCCCTACCGACACGCCTGCAGTTGCGACAGGGAGGCAATACTTAAACGTAAAAAGTGTTGAAGAGAAGGGGGGAGCGGAGGAGGCGGAGAAGGAGGAGAAGGACGAGCGGGAGGGGGGATAAGCTAGCAGGTGCGTTCGCGCCTCATCTGACGTCCTTTCCCTCCCTGCCATCCCTTCCCATGGTGCTGATTTTTCCTTACCCGCGGACGCGGGTCATAGCCGACCTGCGACTCCCACAGACAAACCACTTCGTGGCATGCACAATCATAAAAGAGGCTCCCGTGCACAGAAGGAGGAGGAGGTGGCTGGTGATCAGGTTGACCGGGAGGAAAACGAAAAGGACGCACATCAGCAGCAGCAGCAGGAATTCAAGCGAACGGATAGGGAAGAAAAAGGATAACCAGGGGAAGGCGGAGGGGAAATGAGAGGGCGACAAATATTTAAAAATATACGCGGAGTTAGAAAAATGCCCCGCGCTGGGGCGAGACGAACAGCAGCAGCAGGAACTTGAGTGGAAGGAGCGGGAGGAACAGGAGGACCATGGGAAGGCGGAGGCGGTGCAACGAGGGAGGGGGCCACAATGAAGCCAGAGTCGGATCCAGAAAAGTTACCCTCGCTGGGGCGAGGGCGCCATTCTGAACGACGGGAGCAAAGCGCCGATCCGAAAATGAGGCCCACGCTGCTGCGGGAGCACTACTTTGAAACACCGAATACCATGATATGGCAAAAACCATGTAAGAAAAACAAGTGTTGCAATCTTCTGTATGCAAAAAAACAGCACGCGGAGGGGGGCGGACTACTTTTTTATCGTCTTCTGGGGGGAGAGGAGAGATGTATCCATATTGAGTAATTGTTGAGGGGGAGGAGGGGCCAGGGAAGTCGAGATCTTTCCGAGAACACTTGCGAAGCCTTCAGAGGCTAAACAAATGGTCCAACAATGCCCAGCAACCTCCGCTCTCCCTCTAGGGAGCCTCCGGATGATCAAGAAATCAATTGGCCAGCGCGGCCCAACAAGTTCATTCTGGAGGATCGCCAGTTGACGCAACGGCGGCTCTCCCGCCGGGCCCCAATCCGTTCGAAATCCGTCCCCAGACCCGTTCCTCTGGAGTCTATCCCGATTCGGACGTTCGAGGCGGACCCAGCCGTGTCGACGAGAAGCCTCCAGGAGGCCCAGAGGGTCAACCACGCCAGGAAGGGCCGTCGTTGGCCAGACAGGCCCTCATCCGATCACTCCACCCTCTGCTCCGCCTCCTCCTCCTCGTCCTCCTCCTCCTTCCTCCCTGTGCTGCAGAGCTGCTGTCCCTTGCAGGCGTGCTCCCGCATCCCGTCGCGTGCGGCCGATCTAGGGATACCGCACAGCCTGCTTCAGTGGCAGGGCCACGCATTCGAAATGTTGTGTTTCGTTGCCCCGATGTCTCGCTCAAAGTACCCATCGGTTGTTGAAAGTCAGTATCGAAGACGCCTACGGCAAACCACCGCCGCCCCCTGTCTTTTGAAAACGCTCATGCCGCCGAATTTGGGCCAAAGTCTGGCCAAGCTGTTGGGCTATGGGTTCCCCCAGCCGTTGTGAAAATCCTTGGGGGGATAGTTGGGGGAGAAAGAGAAAGGAGGATGAGAGGGAGGAGGACAAGGAGGAGGAGGAGGACCAGTGTAGACTCTAGGTCCATCAACGATGCTGCAATACACCCTCTCTCCAAGTTCTGTCTTCAGAGGTCCCTACAAGGTATTTTTCATTGGGGGAAGTAACCCGTTGGAAGACAAGGGTTTGTAACTCCTGAGCCGTGCCTATTCCTGGGACGCCAACGCCGTGAACACATATATATATATATATATATATATATATATATATATACACGTATATATATACGTATATACATATAGATGTGTATATATTTATGTATATATATATATATATATATATATATATATATATAGTCCTACTGCTCCCTGATGATCCTGAACCGTGCCAGAACACCATCCCTGGGCATTCAACATTGCGAACCAACGTGACTGTTGCACCCTGTCAGTCCTACATCGCGCCCACACGCAAATTCTGACACGTCAACCATACGAATCCTTGATGCTGATGTAAATTCATAAGACGAGTGTGCGCGACGTCAAGGCGATACTCACCTTTTGAGATGGTGTCGCCATCCATCGGGGACAGACTTGCACATGTTTAAAGCGAATGTGCGCGGCACTACGGCGAGAACCACATCTTCAAACGGACCCGCCCTCCAACCGTGCAACTCCTGCAAACTTGTAAGACGAATGCGCGAGGCGCTAAGGCGGGAACCACATTTTGAAATGGAACCCCGCTGCATCCGCGAAACTCTGGCCAATGTGCGCGGCACGGAGTCTAGAGCCACATTATGGAAAGCGCCCGCCCTGAAATTGTGAAGCTGCTGCAGAGTCTAACCTTTAGGACCCTCATTCGTGAGGGCGAAACGCCTGGCCGCCCTACTAACACGTCTCGGATTGCGACAGGGAGGAGTTATCAAAGAGTTAAAGAGGTCGGATGAGGATAAGGAGGGAAATGAGGCCTCGTGGGGGCCTCTGAGGGTCATCTTGGAGGCCTCCAGGGGCCGTCTTGGGGCGCTATTGGGCCGTCCTGCGAGTCTCTTTGGAGCCTCTTGGGCCGTCTTTGGGCGATCTTGGGAGCTCGTAGGGCCATCTTGGACAGTCGGAAGCCCGAAAAGGCGAGAACGCGCAAATCATTCAGATGTTTTGGGATATTCGTGGTCTCAGTGGAGCTCAGTGGTTGCTTCTGCGCTGTTACAGATGCGAGCGCCAGTCACTGAACTCTGCAAGTGGTGCGTGTCCATCCCCGACTGGCATTGCAGACGAGCGGAACATGACACATACCAGCGGTCTCCACACCCTGGCGCCGCCTCCAGCGGCGTCCCTGGGGCGCTCTACGCCCCAGGGCTGAGGTGCTGAGACCGCACTGGATCACTCGGGGGGCCTGCTGAGGCCAGCTGGCACTATTCGGGGGACCTGTTGAGGCCAGCTGGGACTACCTCGGGGGGGTCTGTCTGTGCGCAACCCGAAGCCCTGGGATGTTTCATCCTCGATCCTCGATCCCAGGCCACTGACGTCATGATTTGCTCATAACCATAACGTCGGCCCCCAGAGGTCTCGAACCATGGCCCGGGACCAGTTTTGCATCGTGAGTCGTGTTTGGGCGGCCCCGTGGCCCGCCAAGGGCCCCCAGAGGCCGCACATGCAGAGCAACAAAAACGTCCGTCATGATCTTGGGAGCGAGGTGGCGTAGCCAGGCCGCCGGCCGAAGCCGCCGACGCCAAGCCGCCGCCCCCAAGGCGCACAGGGCGTGGGCGGAGCGCTTCACCGCAGAGCTCGGCCCCGCCTTCACCGAGTGGCCGGTGTCGCGCACGGCGACTGGGCAGACGGCTGATTCTCCTCCTGCTCCTCCCCCTTGGAGCCGTCGGGGGGTCTGAAGTGGCCCAGCATGGGTTCTGGCCAGAAGGAAGGGCAGGCAGGTTCGAGGTTCTGGGTTCGGGGAGTTTTTTTCTGTTTCGGCCTCAGGGGCTGTTTTCGGGCCCCGGACCATGAGAAACAGATCCGGGGTTACAAGCTGCACCAGATGGACCCCAGGAGGGGTCTGGGGACTGATTTTGAGCAGATTTAGCTTCATCCCCGCCCTCCTGACCAATGTTCCAGGGACCCAGCCATTTCAGACACCTCCAACCGCCTCCAACTCCCCCTCCTGCTCGTCTTTCCTCTCCGTGAGGATTCAGAAGTGTGAGGTGAGGTCTCCCCTACCTCGCTGGGCCCTCATCACGAGCCACACTGGTGAGGTAGGCCTTGAGACACATGTTGTCAAGGCGCTCCTGTCGAGCATACCGCAGGGGCCGGCAGGCGGATGATCAGTGACACTGATGCCCCCCAGCGCCGAGTCCGGAGTCCAGACTTCCTACTCCTCGTCCTCGTTCTCCTCCCCTTCGGCTGACTCGCGCGCGCCGTCTTCTGCACTCGGAGGCCAATGAGCGCAGCCTCGAGATCATTACCTCTGAACCGGCCCTCAGTATCCGTCGCACAGCTCGATCGGTGGCCGACCTGGCCGGGAGGTGGAGGGATTCGGGATTATTTCCTCGTCTAGCGTTGTGTTTCCTCCACTTCCAGTTTGTTGTTATATATATATATATATATATTTCTGGACGTTGCCCTAATTTGTTTTTCCTGGCAAGGGCTCCAGCCCTGGGTTCTTTTGGTTTTCGAGCCCGATGCCTTCCATCAGAAGGGTGTCGAGCAGTGGCGCCGAAACTGGGCACGGAAAAATGTCTGTGCAAAGGTAAGGAGGATCTAGAACATGAGTCTCGGCCAGCGTGCGTTCGTCAAGTGTTTTTGTTTGTTTCTGGCCACGGCGGGGCCGCAGGCGAGGGAGGAACCAACTCAGCCCGCCCGATGCTTTACACGTAGAAGCACGTAATCGGAGGGGGGGGCCCAACATGCGCCTGGCGCGTGCGCGCGGAGCACGTGTTTTTCATGCGTCCACCTCCCCCAGGGAGGAGCTCAATTTGAGCCCGCCGAGTATTGCACGTGTGAAAATGCGTGCGCGGAGGGGGGACCCAACATGCCCCTGGCGCGTGCGCACGCGGCACGTTTTCCACGTGTCCACGGCCCCCAGCGAGTGACACAACTGAGCCCGCCGGATATTCTTCATACGTAAAAACACATGCGATGCGTGGAGAGGGGGTCCCAGCATGCGCTTGGCAAGTGCGCGCGGGTATGTATCTTTACATGTCCACGGCCCCCAGGGGGGGACCCAACCGAAGCCCTCCAGATTCTTCACACGTAGAAATACGTGCGCTGATGAGGGGGGGACCCGACATGCGCCTGGCGCGTGCGCGCGGGATAAGTACTCCAGATTTCGTAATAAAGGGAGGGGGGTCTCATTTCGGGGGGGGTCTCTTCCAGGCTATCTTGGAGGGCCTGGGGGGTCTGGGGACGATGTTTTGGAGGGTTCTCCCACGGGGGAGGTCTGAAATGGCTTGTCTTGGAGGGTCCAGACCCCCTCCCTTTTATTACGAAATCTGGAGTATGTGTTCGTGTCCACGGCCTCCAGGGGGGACGCAACTCGGGCGCGTCGGATTCCTGACGCTCAGAAGTGCGCGCGCGGAGAGGAGGAGCCAACATGCGCCTGGCGCGTGCGCGCGGGGCATGTATTTTTACATGTCCACGGCCCCCAGGGGGGGACCAGTTTGGGCGCCTCGGATCCTTTACACGTGACAATACGTGCGCGGAGGAGGGAGGGCCAACATGCGCCTGGCGCGTGCGCGCGGGGCGGGTATTTTTTTACGTGTCCGCGGCCCCCAGGCGGGCACCCCATTTGGTCTCGTCGGCTTCTTCGCACATGCACAGGCGCCGCCGTGCAGGAGGGAGATGGCGATGGGGAGAAGGAATGCGGAGGCAAGAATATGATGACGATGAGGAGGAAGAAGGAGGAGGAAGGAGGACGAGGAGGCGGAGGAGAGGGGATGGGGACGAGGAGGGTAAGCAGGAGGAGGAGGAGGAGGAAGAGGAGGAGGAGGAGGAGGAGGAGAGGAGGAGGAGGAGGAGGAGGAGGAGGAGGAGGAGGAGGAGGAGGAGGAGGAGGAGGAGGATAAGCAGGACCTGCAGGAGGTAGTGGTTGCAGCCAAGCAAACGGAAAGTGTTGCACGCGCCTCAGAAGACAGGTTTACTCGAGCTCCTTGCTGGGATCGTGGATCCCTCAATCTCTTACGGTACACTCCACTGTCTTTTCGCACTTGCTAGCACGCAGCAGTACGTTCGGTTGCCGAGGGCGCAACGCTCGGCGCAGCCAGCAGCAGGCCGTTTTGTGCTCGGCAGTGGAAGGCGCAATCAAGAGCAGGCCGTTCTGTTTTCGACCGCCGAGGGCGCAACCTGTGGGGCCTCACCTTCGGTAACCACGCCCGGACTTCAGAAGGCGCATCCCAGGGATGGTCCAACACACGGCGCACCCCCATAAAGTAATGTATGACGCAACTCATGGCACTTTTGAATGCCTTCGGAGGTACTCACACGGCTCCCTGCGGTGTCGGAAGGCTGCCGTGGTACGAGGAGGGGAAGGAGGAGGGGGGGTCTGAGACGGAGGCAGAGAGGGAGGGGGGGCAGGAGTCAGCAAGGAGGAGGAGGAGGAGGAGGACGAGGAGTGATTGGCCAGATCATTCCGGGGGAGCTATGGGTGGGTGGGTGGGTGCTCCAGAAGTTTCTGGAGCTTGTAGGGTTTCTCGGGGTGAGGAGGGGGAGGAGGTGAAGGAGGGATGATCAGGGAGGAGAGGGGGAGGAGAGGGAGCAGCAGAAGGCGTTCCGGATTGAGGGAGGGAGGTCTGCAGTTCCAGGGGTTCTGACAAGGGTTATTAAAGGTATTTGGGCGTTTGGGCAGGCCGAAGGATGATGATGAGGAGGAGGAGGAGAAGGAGGAGGAGGAGGAGGGGGAGGAAGGGGGGAGGGGGGGGAGGAGGAGGAGTAGGAGGAGAATGCGGCTGAGGCCGCTGCTGATGCCCGCCTCCTGGCGGGAGCTAGCCCGCTTCGAAATCAAGACGCCGACCCAGCAAGGATTCAGTTTTCGAAACCAGATTCCAGAATCTGTTCCAGAGGTCATTGCAGTGTCCGTCCTTGAACGGGCATTTGCCGCTCAGGTGGGCCCCTTGAGTTTGTTTCGCTATACATCCATCAGAACTCTTGAGAAAAGGCGTCAACTTTTGTGCACTCCAGATTCCGTTCAAGAGAATCAAGAACCTGGACTGGACCCTGGGCGGTTTCTTGGAGCTTTTCCTATGCGTGGGCTGTTCGTACATGTGGACACCTGGACGACTGGTTAAGAAAACGCTTCCAGTGAAACGCATTTTCTTAGCCTAAAGCTTTCGAGCCTCTACGGAGGGGTGCACCTATCTCCATCCCCAGTTGGCCACGGTTCCTCCTCGAGGTGAGAATAATTGCCACCGAATCCGATGGAATCGTCTGCTATCCCCCAGGGCTCGAGCTGAACTGTGTCTTTGCAGTTTAGTGGACCGTTTTCGTTTTGATTTCGTTTCGCAGCAAAGGCAGAACGAAGACAGAACGAAGGAAAACGAACACACACACGCACACACACACGAACACAAACACACCGAACACGAACAACACTTTTATCTCGAGCCCTGCTATCCCCACCTACGGAGGTAGGCCGGCCAGCGGAGAAGACGTTGACCCGATAGGCATGGTGACGGGTCTTTCGATGCTGATTGTGTCGGTGTTTGACCTGTGTTTTCTTTCTCCTCGATTATGCCATGACTCGCGTGTTCTCCCGCCCCTCCACCGCCTCCTGCCTTCCCCCTCCTCGTCCTTCTCCTCCTCTTTATCTCCTCCCTACCACCATCCCTCCCTCCTCCGCCCCTTCCATTGTTCTCCTGCCTTCTTCCTCATTTGCCCTCTTTTTCCTCTCTTGAAACTCCCTCCCTCCCTGATCCTGTCCCCCTCCGAGTAGCTTCCTCCTCCTACCTCATCCCTGCATCCCCCGCCTCCTCTTCCTCCTTGCCCTCCTCAGGTGAACCGTCGCCTGCGGGTGGGCTACATATCGCCCGACTTCTTTCACCATTCGGTGTCTTTCTTTATCCACGCTATTTTCGAGCATCGCAACAAAGAGCAGTTTGATATTTTTGTGTATTCCAACACGTCGCGCGAAGACGACAAGACAGCGCTTTTCAAGGGCATGGTACCGGAGGACACCAGGGCAGAGGCAGGCACAATTTGGTCAGGTCGTTCCAGAGTGAGATGAGGATGAGGAAGGGGAGCAAGAGGAGTAGGAGGAGCAGGAAAGAGCAGGAGGGATGATGATGATGCCGATGATGACGCTGATGATGGTGATGACGCTGATGATGCTGATGATGCCGATGATGATGACGATGGTGATGATGGTGGTGTTGCTGCTGCTGATGTTGCTGATGATGTTGATGACGATGCTGGTGATGATGCTGATAATAATTATGGTGATGACGGTGATGATGATGATGATGATGATGATGATGGTGATGATGCTGATGGTGCTGTAGATGAGAATTCTGTTGATGCTGATTATGATGATGCTGATGATGAGGAGGAGGATAATACATGATGAGGAGCATGGAGAGGAGTATGGGGGAGGGGGTGGAGCAGGGGGAGGAAATAGGAGCAGGAGGGGGGTAGGATGAGGAGGGAGGAGGAGCAGGAGAAGGATGACGAGGGCGAGGACACGGACGCGGGCTAGGAGGTGACAGAGAAGGAGGAGGAGCAGGAGGAGGAGGAGGAGGAGGAGTGAGGGCGCAGGAGGAAGACCAGCAGGAGAAGGTCAGTGGCAGAAAAAGAGAATAATGGGAAGGGGGGTATCAGGCGGGGGGAGGGAGGTCGTGGTCCGCTGTCCACCTTCTCGCGCATGCGGGGCATGGCCGTCGTAGCAGATGATATCAGGTTCTGGGCTTGCGTCTCCAAAATTGCTGCACAGTATCGCCAGAGTGGCAGTAGTAGTAATACTAGAAGTAGTCGTTGTAGTCGTAGTCGTAGTAGAAGCAAGTGTAGTCGGAGCAACTGTTGTAGCAGTAGTCGTAGTGGTGGTGGTAGTAGTAGTAGTAGTAGTCGTAGTAGTAGTAGTAGTAGTAGTAGTAGTAGTAGTAGTAGTAGTAGTAGTAGTAGTAGTAGTAGTAGTAGTAGTAGTAGTAGTAGTAGTAGTAGTAGTAGTAGTAGTAGTAGTAGTAGTAGTAGTAGTAGTAGTAGTAGTAGTAGTAGTAGTAGTAGTAGTAGTGGTTGTAGTAATAGTAGTTGTAGTAGTAGTCGTAGTCATAGTCGTAGTCGTAGTAGTAGTAGTAGTCGTAGTAGTAGTAGTAGTAGT